CCAAGTATGAATTTATGACACCATCTTCTCCAGAAGCCTGAGCTCCTAATGATTTTTTAAACATTCAAAATGTCATCCTCTCCTAGAAACATAAGTAAGTCACACGGTAGTAGTTGTTTTTTTTTTTTTCCCAATACCAAAATGGTATGCCAGGCAAACAAACTGGTTGTTAATACAGGTTTAGGAAAATTCACTATTGAAAATTCTGATTGTAGAGGTCTGTCATTATTCAAATTATTCAAATTATAAACAGATGTCTTAAGGTCCATATTGCCTGACCATGTGATTTTGGTCTGCTGAGAGTAGAAAGTGATGAAACTGGAAAAAAAAAAAAAAAAAAAATGACTTTGAGCTCATCACAGACCAATTCTGACCAGAGAAAGTAATTTTTGTGTATGCCATAATCTGTTAAGAGATGAACGAGCTTGACTTGTATTTTGGAGCTAATATTATGGTAAAGTTATCTAAAAATGGGTGTCAGATGTTTGGACAGGGGTGCAATTTCAATGCTTGCCATAGAAGTTATTTTCTGTAGATATTCCTCTGCCCAAACCTGTGCCACTTGAAACTTTCCCCACCCAACCAAATGACTCAAAATCTTTTGAGTCATCCTTTCTATTAAAACACTATAGTCAATCTGTCAGCACCTCATATCCTTTCTATCTTCAAAAGATAACCAGAACCTGACCACTTTGCATCATCTCTATCACCACTGTTCTGGCCCAGCACCCCCTGACTGGAATGGCTCCTCACAGGTCCCCCTGCTTCCACCTTACCCTCTGTTGTCTATTCTCCATACAGTCACACATAATAGGTGCTCATATTTTGCTGAATGAATGAACTGTTTCATCTGTAGAAAAGGGAAAATAGGGCAAAGAATCTTTTGAGAAGATTCTTGTTCATCCATAAATGTCTGGCATGTGCTGAACTCTCAACAGAAGGTTGCTGCTGCCAGAGTCATACCTATGGAAAATAGCACCTATGACAATTAGTTTTAAGTTGTTGAATGCTCTTTCACAGGTGGTGATGGAAACTACAATGGTGAATGGAGACTACTCATTGGTACCTCCCCTCAGTTGGTGCCCAGGGCACATGCCATACCTGCCATACCCTAGATACACCCCTGGCTGTTGTTATTTCAAGCCTAAGAGTCTTACTCAGACAGAAAACTGAGCCCTTGAGGACACTGTGAACTTGGCTGATGTCTTCAGGGAGGCCTTGCTTCAGGAGAACTTTGATGAACCAAATCGTCTCCCTTACTGGGCTGCCTAGGTTGTCACCCCACCACTTGGAAGAGAGAGGCTCATTCCTGGCTACATACTAAACCAAGACCAAAAATCTCACTGCCCTCAAGTTGATTCTGGCTCATGGCAACCCTATGGGGTGCAGTGGAACTGACCCACTGGGTTTTCAAGGCTGTAATCATTACGGAAGAAGCCTGTTACATCTTTCCCCCACAGAGTGCCTGGTAGGTGTGTACCACTGATCTTTTGGTTGTCAGCCAAGCACTTCAACCACTGCACAACCAGGGCTCCCTTCCTGGCTATGTACTCTGTGATTAAGTGACGACAATGTTACTAGAGGTCCCAAATCCAAGCTGCTGAGATTCCCCAGAACTGAGTAGGTGAGGGAGTCTGAGAACTCACAGGAATTAGTCCAGCCCTGATTGAAAATAAAGAACTAAGCAGTGTTGAATGAAGCAACAAGGTATGGAAGATCCTTTTTCAAACTACAGTTCATCACCCAGAGTAGCTAATCAATTTCGTGTATGGTAAATGGCATGTTCTTAATGACAGAAAATAACTATGATATGAAATCTCGAGAGACCAAGTTTATTAGTGGTTACCAGGGGTAGGAAGGGAGCTCTGGTGGCACAATGGTTGTTGCTAATCAGGGGGTTGGTGGTTCAAACCCACCTAGTGGCTCTGTAGGAGAAAAGTCCTATCAGCTCCTATGAGGATTGCAGCCTGGAAAACTCTGTGGGGCAGTTCTCCTCTGTCCTACAGGGTCACTGAGAGTTAGAATCAACTCAGTGGCACACAAGAAACTGAAGAAGGGGAAAAGAAGGAGTTATTGCTTAATAAGCACTGAACTTCTTTTAAGATTGATATGAAAATTTGGAACAGGATAGTGGTGATGGGTGCAAAACATACGAATGTAATTAATGTCACTGAATTATATATGTAAACAATGTTGAAATGGCAAATGTCTTCCTTTATATCTATCTATCTATCTATCTATCTATCTATCTATATGCTATTGTTAGGTGCTGTCAAGTTGGCTCTGACTAATAGCAACCCTAGGTACAACAGAACAAAACACTGCTTCATCCTGTGCTATCCTCACAATCCTTGCTATGCTTGAGCCCATCATTGCAGCCACTGTGTCAATCCATCTCATTTGAAGGCCTTCCCCTTCTTTGCTGAGCCTCTACTTTACCAAGCATGATACCCTTCTCCAGGGAACAATCCCTTTGGAAAACATGACCAAAATAGGTGAAATGAAGTCTGGCCATTCTTGCTTCCAAGGAGCATTCCAGCTACACTTCTTCCAGAACAGATTTGTTTATTCTTCTGGCAGTCCATGGTGTTTTCAGTATTCTTCACCAACACTACAATTCAAAAGCATCAATTCTTCTTCAATCTTCCTTATTCATTGTCCAGCTTTCACACCAGATGAGGTGACTGAAAATACCATGGCTTGGGATAGGCGCACCTTAGTCTTCAAAGTGACATCTTTGCTTCTTAACTCTTTAAAGAGCTCTTTTGCAACAGATTTTCCAGTGCAATATGACACCTGATTTCCTGACTGCTGCTTCCATGGGTGTTGACTGTGGATCCAAGTAAAATGAAATCCCTGACAACTTCAATCTGTTCTCCATTTATATATACCACAATAAAAACTAGTAGCTGTATATTGCAGGAAAAGGATAATGATTATTTTAAAATTTCATTTCAGTTTTTTTAAAAAAATTCATATTGCCTAAAGCAGCACAGGGATAAATTCCCTTTTAGGTGAGTCTGGAACATACGAGCCAAACCAGAATAAAAAATTCCAGCCATAATAATAAACTAAAGACCCTCTGGTAATTGTTATAATTTCAAAAATATGGTAAAGCCCACATTAGAAATGTCCCATGCTAAATTTTAAAATGTACTCAATACCCTAATGATTCCAGGACAATGCTAGATTTAATCTCCTACTACTTGTATAATCTAATACTTCCACCTGACATAATCTTTAGATGCCTCAGAGTGATATAAATCGAAAAAATTTAGTTTGCATATTTCTAAAATATTCACTTAATCCTATGTATAGCTATAATTATACTAGTAATAGCTATTGTTTATTTTTGTTTTACATACATTATTGCATTTTAATCTTCACCATCACTCAATCTTTAAAAATAAATAGACAGCAGAAAAATTATAATGCACCTAATCATTACGAATGTGATGACCATATTAGCCAAATTAAAAAAAAAAGGACACATGGTATGTAGTAAAAATTTAACCTTGTCCAAAAAGAAGTCTGATCTTTGTATTCAACTTCTGGAAGTAATCTCTAGGTCCTTCCTGGAATGCTATACGTGATATGAGGGTCTTTGTTTGTATAGGGGCTTTGGGATATACCAGATACTTCAACAGTGTAGTTTAGTATAATGGTTTGGGTCACATAGTATCACCTTGACCTCTGGAAAGGCTGGAGACTGAATCAGCCATGTGAACAGTCAACTGTGCCTGATGGAGTACCCAAAATAACTCTGGATACCAAGGCTCAAGTGAATCTCTTTAAACTAGAAATACTTTGTGCATATTATTACAGGAAAGTACACTGTCTATGACACCAAAGTGACAAGACAACTAGAAATTTTGCATACGGAAACTTACTAGATTCTGCTCTATATACCTCTTCCCTTGGCAGATTTTAATCTATATACTTTAACTGTAATAAACCACAACCATGAGTATAATAGCTTTCAATGAGTTCTGTGAATCCTTCTGGTGAACTATTGAAACTAAGCGTAGTCCTGGAGACCCCCAAACTTACAATCATGTGGACTATGCCCCATAACTTCATAATGGGCCAACTGAATATCTGAATGGATCTGATCAAGAAATTTTGCTTCCAAAATTTTATAGTAGTTATAATAATCTGAATTCTGAATACTGAAGACTGGAGGGAACTGATGCAGGTAAAAGAAAGAAGCAAGAACGTAGTATCTCTCTTTCTTTGGGAGAGGGCTTGCCATTACCACATTGCTTCTGGCCTCCTTTAATCTTTCTTCAACTAACTTTTAAAATATTTACTGAATGCTTATTATATACAAGGCATTGAGCAAAGCCCTGTAAGGAAACAAAACTGAATGACATTTACTATTTATGCCCTTAAGAAGCTTATCCCCTCCCACTGACGTGCTGATCTCATTTTATTGCCACATTCCAACCCTTCCGTCTTAATCCAAAAAGTATTTCAAACTCAAAAGTTATCTATTTTTCTTTCTAACTCCCAATAAGACTTTCATACCACTTCTCATTTTGTCTTGCCTTAGGTAATTCTTAAAAAAAAAAAAAAAGTAAATAAACTCATACAATTATTAATAATTAAAGCTACCTTGTCAGTAGCTAGCATGTTAGGCATACCTCAAAGTCTGATCCAGGAGTTAAATCTAGCTTGCTCCCATTAGTCACAGCTTCTCCCTTCTTCCACAATTGATCTACATATTCCCTAAATGCTTCAGGTTTCACTATCTCTGCCACAAACCCATAACTGCAGCAGCTATGGGCACTTGGTTCTACATCAATAAAAGATTCTTATTTTATGGCATCCAAAGTCATTACTGGAGTAGTTAAAATATTTCTAATGTTATTGAATTATCATAAACTTGACTTAAATTTTTCAAAAAGATTTCCATTTAATAATGAAGATAATTCTACATTCTGTACAGTGAACTAATTAGAAAAGCAGCACTTATAATCAACAACAGAACATAATCATACCTGCATGGTCCTTCTTTTAGTTAATGTAACTTGAAAATTTTTCCACTCCCAACGCTGCTCCACTACATGTGCAAAAACAACATGCCCATTTCCACAGGCTCCAGCAATCTGAGTACCATCAATTGACCATGCAATATTAAATATGCTGCCAGTGTTGGGCTTTTCTAAAGCATATGACCACTGGATAACAAAGAGCAAGAGAAAAATCTGTTTAATGAAAAAAAATTGTAAGCAAATCTTAAATTGCATTAAGATAACCTTTTAAATAATGTATCTTTATTCCAGAATTATTTAAATATTTTTAAAGAAAATTATACTGTACTGAAACAGAAGATATCATTTTTAAAGTACATAGGAGAATAACCTAATAAAATAATACATGAATCTCTCAAGAACTACAAAAAAAAAAACCACATTATTTAAATTCACATTATTACTTTTAAGTAATAATATTGAACAGGTAAGCATACATATTCTATAGAAAACACTAGGGCATCTCACTATTAATTCTTAAGGATCTCAATAGTACTTATATCTAAAACTTATTGATTACCTTATTTCAACAATGTCACTAAAAACTGAAACTAAACACAAAATGTAACTATTAACATCTCTGAAAAAAAAAAAAAAAAACACCTTTGCAGTCCATTCAGAACATGGCAACCCCATGTGTTACAGAGTAGAACAACTCTACAGGGTTCCACTCTTTATGTAATCTTTATGGATACAGAGCACCAGGCCTTTTCTCCATGGTGCCACTTGGTGGGTTCCAACCACCAACCTTTAGGTTAGCAATTAAGCACTTAATCATGTGTCACCAAAGGACCTGAACATCTAATACATCCTAAATCATGAGAGTACAGGGCAAATGATATATATTTTATACACATTTTTTCTTTTTCTTTACAAATGTAATAACTATAACCTCTCCTTTTTCTAGCTGCCATCAGATTGCCTTTTAACCCCTCTTAGGGAGCTCTGGTAGCATAGTGCCTAAGGCACTTGTCTGCTAACCAAAAGGCTAGAGGTTCAAACCCACCAGCCACTCCTCGAAAGGAAGATGGGGCAATCTACTTCCATAGTGATACTGCCTCGGAAACCCAAGGAGGGGTCGCTATGAGTCAGGTCTGACTCGATGGCACATAACAACAACAGAACCTATTTATCTCTTAGGGAAAGTTATTTAGGTATATTGTTGTTGTTTAGTGCCGTTGAGTCGACCCGACTCATAGCAAACCCCCCTCCTTGGGTTTCCCAGGCAGTATCACTACGGAAGTAGATTGCCCCATCTTCCTTCTGAGGAGTGGCTGGTGGGTTTGACCACCAGCCTTCTGGTTAGCATTCAAGTGCCTTAGGCACTACGCTACCAGAGCTCCCATCTAGAGATATTAATAAGTATCAATTAGCATAAAAGATTCTGTGTATCTGTGTAAATAAACAGTTAAGGGAAAAAAAAACACAAAAGTTTTGAAAAGTGGCCTTATATGCATTTTCTTTTGTTTTTCAGATGTAGCATAAACATTTGCTAGAAGGATCATATTTGACAAAATTTACATACATGATATTTATATTCTTCCAACCTTACAGTACCATCAAATCAAGTCTTAATATTTCCTGTTGTTGTTGCTGGTCTTGGGTGGGTATTTACTTTTGCTTTACATTAATACATTTTCCAAAATATTCAGTATTAGGTCTGGGCTAATTCTGACGACAAATTTCGAGAAACTAGAAAGTAGAAAACGGTTTACTGACACTTCTGCAAAACTAGACTTTCATCCCAATAAAAGTTTATGTTGTTGTTGTTGTTATGTACCCTCAAGTCAGACCCAACTCATGGCAACCCCTCCTTGGGTTTCCGAGGTGGTATCACTACGGAAGTAGATTGCCCCATCTTCCTTCTGAGGAGTGGCTGGGGGGTTTGAATCGCCAGTCTTCTGGTTAGCAGTCAAGTGCCTTAGGCACTATGCTACCAGAGCTCCCATAAAAGTTCATAGACAGGATTAAAATGCTGAAGACTCTTGTACTACTCACTGACAATTTTTCCACACCTGTCTCCTGCGCATCAAGCCACTAACTGCTGCTATGCTAAGATCCTATATGAAGTTATAAAAGCAGCAGCTAATGAAAACAAACCATAAGGTTTGCTTCGTTGTCCACATAAAAATGTCAAAGCCTTCTTTTTCCAAAATTAAGTAGCATATATTAAAAAATGAATTTATATATATAATACTTGAAGTTATCTTTTGAAAATTAAGTGGAGAAAATCAGCCAAAATCAAGTGTAAAGCCACTGCCATCAAGCCAATTGCAACTCACAGAGACTCTATAGGAAGGAGTAGAACTGCCCCACAGGGCTTTCAAGGCTATAAAACTTTACGGAAGGAGACTGCCTCATCTTTCTCCTGAAGAGCAGCTGGTAGGTTGGAACATCTTGGTTAATAGCCCAATGCTTTAACTTTTCTATCACCAGAGTTTGGAAGTACAAAAATACAAATACTTTGCTTCTGTCAATAAAATGAAACTCATTTGTATTTGACAAAATGAACAAGAATTTTTATGAAATATTACATGACTACTATTTTACATCTCCTCGGAAGGAAGGTTAGGCAATCCTACTTCCGTAGTGATACTGCCTCGGAAACCCAAGGAGGGGTCGCTACGAGTCGGGTTTGACTTGATGGCACATAACAACAACAACAACAACTATTTTACATAAAGACTGTAAGTGGTTGATACCAACAAATCAAACTTGATTTTTTAATATCTAATATTTAATGGCTCGGACCAGGATTATGACACACCTCTCTTTCATTCTAAATCTAGACTATTCTCATGATATGAAACAGAGATTTTACTTTAAAGTGCATTTTAAAATTTAGCTTTATACTTTAAAACTATTTAAGTATGGTTTTAAAAGTCAAAAGATTCAAATCAGTGAGAAAGAAATGTCCTACTAAAATTAAACACAGAAATATTTATCTAAGAACTTATGGAGCATCATCCTGAGAGTAGAAAATGGAAAAAAATATTGAGCTTTTATTATTACTATATTTTCTATTCCTCTGATTTCTTTACAGTCCACATGAACCAACAAAAATAAAATCTACAACATCTAACTTACCCCTAAAATCAAATTGCAAAGAATAGTGCCATGATAGCCAAGTTATATTAAACTGACAATTTTTAAAATTAAGAAATTATTTGTCTTTGTTTTAGATTACTGTAGTAATCTAAAAACTATACTAGCACAACCAAATCAACAGAGAACAGGTTTGATTTTGTGGCAGTGGGTCTGATTTTTGGTTATGTATTTTGTATTTTCTCGTATATGGCTGTCAGTGAGAGCATGTTTTTAGCAGTTTCACACTTTCAGCTTTTTTATTTGGGAGCAAGGTTACATTTTGTCATATCAGTAAATTTAATCATTTTATTGGCAATTCAAAAAGATTATTTATTTCTTTAAAGATTATTAACCATCTAAGTGTCTTCTGTTCCTCAACATGCCATGGTATATTCACTGCATTACTACTTGCTAGGAGCTCTGGTAGCAAAGAGGCTAAGGCACTTGACCGCTAACCAGAAGGCTGGCGGTTCAAACCCACCAGCCACTCCTCGGAAGGAAGGCTGGGCAATCCTACTTCCGTAGTGATACTGCCTCGGAAACCCAAGGAGGGGTCACTATGAGTCGGGTCCGACTCGAGGGAACATAACAACAACAACTACCTGCTGGAATAGAATGAAACAGCCTCCTTAGATGTAATTTAATAGTTCTGTGTCAGTAAAATTCATCCTCAAGATAAATTTTTAAATAACTCTCCCACTTACGTTTATGTTTTTCTGTAACTTAACTACTTACTTTAGGATAATGTTATTTAAAATGTGGTCCTCAGACCAGCGGCATAAGTATGGCCTGTGAACTTATTAGAAATGCAAAAATTTATGGGTTCCACCCCAACTGACTAAATCAGACTCTGGGATGGAGGCCAAGACACTGTTTTAGCAAGCTCTTAAGGTGACCTTAAGCACATAATGTTAAGATACCAGTTCTCAACACTGGCTGTTTATTAGACTAATTTAATCTTCTGTGGAGTGTCTAAAACACACAAAGACCAGGCCCTTATCCAACCAATTAAATCTAGAGTCACTTGGGGTGGTGCCTGAGTTTTTTGTTTTATAAGGCCTCCAGATGATTTTAATGTAGAGCTTCTGTTATAAAAGAAAAGCAAACTTTGTGATTTAAAATTAACAACTGGCTTACCTTTAGAACTGTGCCTATTCTTCTACTAACTCTTAAAAAAAAAAAACTAAACTGCACAACCTAGGCCTTAACCTCTAATTTAGCTTCTCATTCTTATTTGTAAATTTTGGCTTCCTATATTCGTCTACATAACTTTTTTTCATTTTGTATTTTTAAGATTTCAAACATAAACAAAAATAGGAGAAATAATATAAAGCAGTGGTTGTTAAACTTTAACGTATCAGAATTATCTGGAGGAATCCTTAAAAGATTGCTTGACCCTATGCTAAGAGTTTCTGATTCAGTAGATCTGGTGTGAACCAAAAACCAAAACCACTGTTAATTCAGACTCATAGTGACCCTAGGGCAGAGTAGAACTGGCCCATATCGTTTCTAAGGCTATAAATCTTTACAGAAGCCGACTGCCTCATCTTTCTTCTTTGGAGCAGCTGGTGGATTTGAACCATCTACCTTTCAGTTAGCAGCTGAGTGTTTCAGCAACTGCACTACTGTTGTTCCTGATGTGAGGTGGAACACTAAGAATTTGCATTTCTAAAAAGTTCCCAGGTGGTTCTGAAGCTACCAATTGAGACACCACAATTTAAGAACCACTTGTACAATGAACCCTCACCTGTGCATTACCCAGCTTCCCAAAATTATCTGGTCATGGCTAATCGTATTTCATGTATACCATCACATATTTCTCTCTAGACCAGATTATTTTCTACCTAATCTCAGACAGCTCTATAATTCAATCATGAAATATTTTAGTGTATATCACTAAAACACAAAGACTCTTTAACATAATCTCAAATACCTTTATTACCCCTAAAAATAAATAAAACAAATGTTTTAACTACTCAAGTTCTTCCAACTGTCTTTTCTTTTTTCCAATTTGCCTGTAATCAAGATCAAATAAGATCCAATCAATACAGCTGATTGAC